GCCACACAATGAACAATGTCCGGCCTCGTAGTCATTGCTAGGTACAGCAGTGATCCAATAAGCGATTGATACTGCTTCTTGTTGGCTCGTGGACAGTCTTCCAAAACACATAGGTTCTGATAACCAACCTCCCAAGGCGTTGCATTCGGCTTACAGTCTTCCATGCCATAATCTCGTAACAGCCCGTCGATATACTGCTTGTGGCCAATTGCCACACTGCCCGTCTCTCCATCCCGCTCGATCTCCATGCCTAAAAAATGTTTCAGCTCTCCGCCATCTACTACTTCGAATTCCCGTGCGATTTGAAGTTTTATGTCGACAAGGTCTTCTTTTATGGAACAGGCAATAATTAGATCATCGACATATACAACAATTAAGTTAAATTTTTCGCCGTTGTTCTTGGTGTAAATGCATGGCTCACTGGGACATTGTACGAAACCAATACGCTGAAGAGTACTGTCCAATTTCTGGTTCCATTCACGCCCACTCTGCTTCAGACCGTATAAAGACTTGTGTAACTTCAACACCCTTTTTGGATACGCTGTGTCTACGAACCCTTCCGGTTGCCGCATGTAGACTACATCTTGTAGGTCGCTATTGAGATACGCAGCTGAGACGTCCATTTGATGCATAAACATTTTGTTCTCGACAGCCAGTGCGATCACCAATCGGATAGAAGAATACCGAGCCACTGGGGAAAATGTTTCTTTGTAGTTTATGCCGTACTCCTGTCCACAACCTTTTGCAACTAAGCGAGCCTTGAACCGTTCCACGTTGCCGTACTGGTCTCCTTTAACCGCAAACACCCATTTGCATCCAATAGTTCTCTCGCCAGGAGGAAGATTTACAAGACCTCATGTATTGTTGGACTATAGTTGAGAATACTCCTTCTGCATCGCAACCTTCCATTCTTCAGCCTGTATCGAGCTCAAAGCCTCCTTGACTCCACTCGGTACTTGGACGTCGGCAACTCCAATAGCGTTAAGCATATTGTACTCCTTACGTGGTCGTCCTGGCCTTCCAGTACGAATTATCTTAGGCCTACCTGGGCCTCGCTGAACTCGTTCGACGCTATCAACCAACTCGTCTTCACCATCTTCGGCTCCCGACTGTCCGTCCCTTGCATGATCTCCGTCATTTTCATCGTGACCCCTATTTATCTCCTCACCAAAAACGCTTCCGTTTTCTGCCAATTCTACTGTCGATATATCCTTGGTTTTTGTTATATCGTGCTCAAGGAACACCACATCCCTGGCTTCCTTGATAGTTTGCGTATCAGGATTGAAGAGTCTATACGCTTTGGCAGTTTCTGAATACCCAACCAGGATATGCTCTATTCCTTTCTGAGAAAATTGTTTTTTCATTGTCTTGTCTAGCACAATTGCCTTAGTACCAAACACCTTAAGATGGGATACGCTGGGCTTTTTCCCAAACCATTCTTCGTATGGAGTCATGTCTGGCAATGTAGACGTTTCTGATCGGTTCCTCAAATACATCGCAGTCATTATCGCTTCCCCCCACAGGTACTCGTTCGCTAGCGTCCGATTGGCATGCTCAGCCACGCCGTTTTGCTGTGGAGCATGGGGAACGGTAAGCTGCCTCTTAATCCCATTGCTTACCAGGAAATTTTCGAATGCTCCATTTATGTACTCTATACCATTATCGCTCCGTATAGCTTTAATCTGCTGCCCAGCTTGCTTCTTAGCCAACAACATAAATTCTTTGAACTTTTCAAAAACTTGGTCTTTTGTTTTAAGCATATACACCGATACATAACGCGTCTTGTCGTCTATGAATGTAGCAAAATAACGCGCTCCACCTTTGGAAACTGTACTCATAGGAACGCACACGTCTAGCACTATTTTTCGAAAAACTTATTTCGAACCCGTTATTAGTTGCTCTCGACACCGAAATAAAATTACACTGAAGGTTTTGTACGAACAATAAATCAACCAATTCAATAATGTTTTCTTGCCAAAACAGTTTTACTGTTCCAATGCCTTCAGCCTCAATGTAATTTTCTCCAACCAGCATTATTTTTTCCTTATGCTCACGAATTGAAACAAATAACGATTTGTTTGCACATAAATGGGCTGTTGCCCCACTTTCAATGCACCAAATATTCTTCGTTAGTCCCCTTTGGCTCGCTGCGGCAGCGAAAACCGAGAACGACTTTTTGTTCTCCTCGCGTTTGCTCACACTATTGTTATCCTTTTCTGATCTTGCGTTTTTCTGTTTTGAGTAGCACTTTGCCGAAACATGTCCGTAACGACCGCAGTTCCAACATTCCACATTTTTCATGTCATTCTTATGCTTGGGCTTTTCCTTTTCGGCACGCGACGAGTAGATTTTCTGTTCCGCTTTATTGTCCATTTTGTCTCCCACTTTTCGTCGTTCTCCTTCTTCCAGCAACTTAATTTTTAGAGAAATTAAGGAAGGCAAAGAATCACGCGTCTCCAAAGCAATTACGAAATTTTCGTACGAATCCGATAGGCTGGACAACAAAATTATTACAAGCATTTCTTCTGGGACTGGTTGATCGATCTCTTGTAATTTCTCGATGACGTCATTGAAATTACTCAAATGCACTGTGACACTGTCTGACTCTGACATCTTCATATACAGCAACTGTTTAAACAACTGTATTTTACGCGCTGGTCCACTAGGCATGTGAACACTAGCCAGCTTTTTCCAAGCTTCCATCGATGATCTGGGAGGGCTTTTTCATCCTTGTTATCAAAATATGCCTGCTCTGCAACCGTTCCACTTTCGTTTTTAATTTCACGACCACACACAATTGACCAAAGTTCTGAGTGTACCAGCAGACTTTTCATTTGCACTGCCCACGAACTATAATTGTCACTATCAAGTTTTTCTATTGAGTATTGCGAACTCATCTTGTTTATCTTGTTCATTAAACACCACCGAATCTCTAATTATTTTATAATCTTTTCGACTATTACGCAGTAGTTTTCTTGCTGATCTGGGCCCATAACCTATTCGGTTTGACGATTTATTAGAGACTAAAAAATGCTGCACGCAGGCAGAACCAGAACTTAAAGAGGAATGATAATTCGCTACTCGTTACTTTAGTGTATAACATTAGAGGAATAAGATATACAGTGGTGCATATACAAATATTTTCAACAAAAACACTATAAATTTCATTTTTATCCACATAATGCAAAATTGAGTAACAAACCGAAAACAACCCGATTGAAGATATCTCTTATATTTTAGAAGTTATTAATTTAATGCCGCTAGCGAGACTGAGACCACTGTGCGTCGCTAAGATACTGAAGCGGATAGTTACTAAAAATTTGACATTTCTGTCTCGTAATTTTATATCCCCCAACCAGCATGGTTTCTTGCCTGGGAGGTCCACTACAACTAATTAAGCGGTCTTCTCTAAGCACTGCTTTGAAGCTTTTGAAAACCGACTTCAGGTTGATGCCATTTACACTGACTTATCCAAAGCCTTTGACAAAGAGTGTCATGCTGCCCTTCTGCCCAAGTTATATAAATTAGGTATACATTCCTGCCTATTAAGTTGGTTCGAGTCTTATCTGGCTCTGATACGGTTGTCTTGTTAATCAGGCACTTATTTTGTATTAGTATTCTATTATTATGCATTAGTTTGTCCGTTGGCGGAAATAAATAAATAACTTCATTCAGAAATTATAAAAACTGTTGAAGTTAGGGAAGCAGAATAAGGAAGCAGTAATGCCATTTGTGGGGTGTTGTACTCACTGGAATTTTTGTATGTATCACTTCCATAAGGTCAAATTCGGTTCCAAAAAGGAATGCCTTTTTCCGTGTGAAAGCGTGGAACTCGGAGACTATAAAAAGAGCTGTAGGATTCAGCATGGAGACTCCTGTAATGCCCACGCACTTTAAGTTTCTTTTTTTGCTTTCTTATTACAAATTAATTGCCGCCTCTTTTAACGAACTTTCTTTAAAAAGATTAACTTAGCTTAATGATCTTGGCGTCTATTAGACAGAAAACTTTAATTTGCCGACCAAATCTATTAGTTAAAAAAAATTTGCCGACCCTATATCGTCAATAAACTTTGCACACTTTTGTCCATAATTATAATACCCTCTGCAAGTGTTCAAAATGAATCAGCATTTGTAGCTAGTTTTATACATAGTATAATGCAATTGCTGTGCTATTGCAGTGTTTGATAAGAAATAATTGTTTAAGAAATAATTGTTTAAGAAATAATTTCCAACGCCCTATTTAATATAAACATCATCAAAAAAAAACAAGAAATAAAAGCTAACTTCGGGGGTAGCCGAAGTTGATATACCCTTGCAGTTAAAACAGGATATACATATATCGCAAACATCGGATATAGTTGGCCGATCCTTATGATTACATCATAATAAAACCAATTAATTACAAAAAAATAAAATAAAAAAAAAATGTCCCAAGCTTCTATCTTTAAAAATATGAAAGTATTTCTACCAAATACCATTTCCGATTGTTCAGTTATATGGCAGCTATAGGATATAGTCGGCCGATCCTAATGAAATTTGGCATGCCGTAATGTTTTGCCAAAAATAGCTCTCGTGTCAAATTTGAACTCTCTAACTCTAAAAACAACGAAGTTATACCATTTCCGACTAATCAATAATATGTCAGCTATAGGATTTAGTCGGCCGATCCGGGCCGTTCCGACTTATAGACGTGTTTGAAAGAAGAAAGAAGGATGTGTGCAAAGTTTCAAGTCAATAGCTTTAAAACTGAGAGACTAGTTCGCGTAGAAACAGACAGACAGACAGACAGACATGCTCATATCAACTCAGGAGGTGATCCTGATCAAGAATATATATACTTTGTAGGGTCGGAGATGTCTCCTTCACTGCGTTGCATACTTTTGGACAAAATTATAATACTCTCTGCAAGGGTATAATAATCCGTATCCGACAAATAATAAGCTCAAACGTCAAGAAATATAAAAATTTAAATAATTCGTTTATAATATTTTTTATTTCAGAATTTAAAAAATCAAATAATGACGACTAATCTTTGGGTGGAACAGGTATGTGTACTGAAAACCATTAAGACTTTTAAATACAATTTAATTTTTAAGACCATAATTTTTTTTATATTTGTGAGGAGATCCATTCTTTAGACACTCCTAGTTCAGATCCGGCACTCCGGATCAAGAGCCGCTTGGACGTATGCGCAGTGGTCAATTCTCAGATGCGCCAATGGGAAGCGGGTGGGAAGGGACTGGTGATGATTGGCACGCTGTATGACTAAAAGGTGTGTCGGGTCTTGGCGTCCAAATCCGCCTAGACTATCTTTAAGGAAATGGATCTAGCAACGAGAAGAGGCCGACGCAGAAGTAGTGACAGCGAGCCGATGCAGTCGACGTAGAATAGAAAAAGCACTCAAAAAAAGAAGATTTGGAATGGTATTGGAAATAAGTTTTTTTAGGGTTTGTTTTTTTGAGCATTTAACAGCATCGTAAAGGGGCAATAAATCTAATTTGTTAACCGCCTTGTAGCTCCCGTTGCAGTCCTTAGATACTGAAGAACTTCTACCTTGCCCAGAAGCTTTTCTGAAGGAATACGGGGACGGATAAATCGCCACTCAATGGATTCCGGTAGGCATAAGATCAGCACTGTTCCCTGATGCTCATCGGTGAGGAAAAGACTATTTATTTCCAGCACTTGATTATTTGCTCCAACAAAGCTTGTGGAGGTACCGAGGCTTTCTCCGAATAGAAATAAGCTTTCTTAGCGCATGAAGGAGAGCGGCAGTGAATAAGTCCCTCACCAACTCCAAGTGCACGGCTTTCGTTTTGAAACAAGCAAATACGTTTACGTAATATATTATGGGAGACTTTGTGCACATTTCCGATTTGTCAAAGAACGGGCCGCAAAAAGCGATACTGGTTACATCGAAAACCTGTTATCCTTCCAATCTTTTTCTTGGCACATTACGTGTTGCATGCTTCAATTACCAAAGCTTAGCCCGGAAAAACCTTACAGAGCGTTGAGGCCTTAACTATGTTTATTTTCCCCATGATTGCCCAATATTGGGATCAAATTGTGGCCAAAAGTGCTCGTGGTCGAGTATACAGGCTCTGCACTTGAAAACTGGCAATAATACTTAGCTCACAGGATGACTCCTGGACAAGATGATTGGGTGCCGACTATTGAAATACGAATTCTTGAGATGACCACCGAAGAGTTCTTGAGATGACTATCACCTCGAAGCAGGCCAAGTGGGCTACGAATGGCAACCAGTGAGCTGCCAGATGTTATGATATCTTTGAACTGGAAAGACTAACCTTCATGCAAAGACTGCCTTAGTCCCAAATATATTCGGGTTCCAGCATTTATATTGTGTATTCTTTTATGGCAAATACAGCTGAAAAATTTGTATACTTGAACAAATTCTCGCTGCAAAGCTGAAAATATATTGGAGTACTTTTATCCTGATTTTACCAACTAGGGCCCGAAGCTCTATATTTTACTTAGCGGGCATTACAGTAGCCGTCGAGTTTTTCTGAGGCTTTCATAAAAAGGGACGACCTTAACGCTACAGACAGCATTCCGGCAGCTTAGCTGGAAGAGCGACTCGGGAATGTAAATCCGCCAGATTCAAAGCAGGCTCCATTCGATGGAGCTAGTAAAGCTCTGAATTTTGGTGACATGGTTAGCGACAAAGACGTTGGACCTGGACGGCTCATGCTGGATTGAAAATATGTTGACGGATGAATCACACCAACAATCATATTTATCTTGATATGGATATGGTTAATTGCCAACAGCAGTACAAGTTGGGCATTAATTAATGGTTTCAGAGGAGCATCCCGAGACTTAGGGCAAAGAAGACAGCACCGGGAAGCTACAAACCACATGCAGGCCCCATAAGTCTCCATGCTGGCATTACAAACTTCATGGATATCTATAGAAGCATCAGAAGAAAAGGACAAACGAGAAAATTCCAGCTGCATCTGCCCGAAAATGTGACAGATTTCTTCCCATTCTGGGTTAAGGTTCTCGTCCCAGGAAAGCTACTCCCTGCACAGCCTTAGTAGAAAAATATTAGCCTTCGTAACTGCACGACCAACAAAGCCAAGAGGGTCATAGAATCGAGCAACCAAGAATAATACAGCATTGCTTCCACAGCATTCGTTCCACAGAATGCGCTGAGTTCAGGAAGGTCTCGCGACCCTTTCAGGCACTCTTCAGACCAGTTCATTCGGCTTGTTACGAAACTGGCTTTTGGATGGGATTCCAGCAATTTGATAAGTTTTTCCGTAGACTAACAACCAGAGATATGATCTTCTGCCAGTAGATCTTCTTCTGAAATACCGGTAGGTGTGAGAAGTATGGCTTGCCAAATAAAAAATGTCTTAAAAGCTTCCAACTCACCCAGTCGAACATTTAGTTAAATTACACAGTGGCCTACAAGCCCAAGTCTTCAAAAAGTGCATATATAATGTTTAAAAACTGTAGCCTTCCAGAAGGTTTCCAGGAAATTTGCCAGGTGTTCAGGAAGGTTTCTACAGATTCCAGGAAAGGGTTATTTTTTTACGCATTTATTTCTATTTTCTTTTATTTTTTTTAAGGTTGACAGTCAATTCTTCCAACCACACTTAAACTTATTATTAAAGTTGTGTCCAAAACCCTAGAATAGACTTTGGATGCACCCCGGTACTGTAAACACTGTAAAATGGCTATAAGCGTTATGAAATACGAAGAAATCTACGTATTTCATCACAAGTGCAAGTCTAACATACAAATAAATGTGTGTAGACATTACTGCACTATGGGGAATTTTATGGTATTAAATTATTTTGTCAAACTATTGATATTTGTGTTTTTTTAATGTTAGCATCTTCAAAACATTTGGCTCTTTATAACTGAGTACCAGAAATATTAATTAATTGCTAACAGTTAGTCCAGTTAATTGGTAAGGTCAGCTGTTGTATCCAAAAATAATATTCTCGACAATATTCGAGAAGTCAACACATTTTTTATGTAGTTTGAGTTTGTCAATCATATTAGTTTTTTGTACCCTTGCAGAGGGTATTATAATTTTGGTCAAAAGTGTGCCACGCAGTGAAGGAGACATCTCCGACCCTATAAAGTACATATATTCTTAATCAGAATCACCTCCTGAGTTAATATGAGCATGTCCGTCTGTCTGTCTGTTTCTACGCGAACTTGTCTCTCAGTTTTAAAGCTATCGACTTGAAACTTTGCACACACCATTATTTTCTTTGCACGCAGTATATAAGTCGAAACGGATGGCATCGGAGGACTGTATCCTATAGAATTTAGAATGAATGCTATTTTGGGCAAAATAATTCAGTAATACGGCCAACTGTTTCTTATAGCTGACATATAACTGAACGATCGAAAATGGTATTAGGTAGATATATCAGCTTTGCTATTTTTGAAGATAGAAGCTTGAGACTTCTTTTTAGGATTTTTATTGTAAATAATTGGTTTTATTATGATATTCTCATAAGGATCGGCCAACAATATCCGATGTTTGCGATATATATCCGGTTTTAACTGCAAGGGTATATCAACTTCAGCTCCGCTTGAAGTTAGCTTTCCTTTCTTGTTAAATAAGGCCCTTTGTGTTCTTCCATCTAAGTAAAAAGAGATCCATGTTAAGAGGTCTGTAGAAAAACCCAGCATTTTCAGTTTACTTAACAAGATTGAGTGATTGACTCAATCAAATGCTTTTCTAAGATCTGTGTGAATAACATGAGTTTTATATCCTTTTCAAAAGCCATCTATGACGAAGGATATCAACTCCAGTAAATTAGTGGTGGTGGAGTGACGCTTAATAAAGCCATGCTGACATGGAGAGATGATCGGAGAGTAATTAATTTTTTAAATAACTTTAATTTAACCGGCAATTAAGAGATGTCTCTGTTTTTGGCAGCGTCGGACAATTTCCCTTTTTTACGTAAGGAAATTATGAAAGATTCCTTCCACTTATGGGGAAAAATCTAGGTTTCCAAACATAAGTTGAAAAGTCTCTGAAGAGGTTTGCACAGAGCCCTGGCACAGCCTAGTACTCCATCAGGGCCTGGTAGATAAACCTCTTCAGAAGCAAGTTGGAAATCTACCGAAATAAGGACTCTAGCCCTTTACAGAGGTCGCTCACGTCTAAAAGTGGTGTACTTATTTGGAAAAACTTCGGAGCTAAAGATCCCCAGCTTTAAGCAAGTTTCTGTAAAGGCTATAATAAGGGATGCAAAGAGAGAACTATCAGAATATAGTTTAGGGAGTTTGCTACGTAGCCCCCTAGTATTCTGATAGGTAAGTGTTAGTGACAATACTAGTTCATTGGATCATTTGGTATTTGACTAATATTTTGTGGGCTTTGTAAATGGTCTAACATTTAATTTTTTAAAATAAATCTACTGAGACATTTTTTCGCATTTTTCTGCTGCAGTTGCCTCTGTTAGCGCTAAGAAAAACTTTTTCTTGCATAAAAATTCTCAAATTCTCTCACACAGTGGTCGATTCAGTCTCGCTAGCGGCATTAAATTAATAACTTCTGAAATTTTAGAGATATCTTTAATCGGTTTTTTATTTTCGGTTTGTTACTCAATTTTGAATTATGTGGACAAAAATGAAATTTATAGTGTTTTTTTATATTTAATATTTATATTATTTATATTTAAAAAAAGACTTTTATTAAATTTTTTGTATTCTAAAGAAAAAGAGTAAGAAATAGAATTATAACTTATATTATGCAAGAAGCAAATAAGAAACATGTACATTATATACAAACATTTTATATACATTATACACAAAAAAATTAAAATTCAGTGAACAGACGATGGCATGTCAAACCAAGGGTATTTATTAACAAAAATTTCGGCAGTTTCCATAGCGCACGATCAGAATGCATTGGTGTTTAAGTAATGTCCACAGGACAATGCTCGCAGGACAATGCTAAATCGGAAAATTAAAATTTGGTTACTCTTTTTATGCGCGCAGCTAAATTTGGAAAAAATCTTCGTTCAGTGTTTCCATTGTTAGTACTTTTAGTACC